CCTGAGTACCTAGGTTTACAGCCATGAGCCACTATCTCCTGGCTTGAATTAAGTTGATTTTAAAGGGAAAATACCTAGTTACTCACGAGGCTGAGGACTGAGGATCTCAGCTCGAAGACCAGCCCAGGCAGAAAAGCCCATGATACGCTCATCTCCAACTAATCACTAAAAATCTGGAAGTGGAGCAGTGGCTCTAGTGGTAGAATGCCAGTCTTGAGTGAAAAAGTTAAGGGACAGGGCTGGGAAGGTGGCTCAGTGGTAAAGTGCTTGCCTTGCATGCATGAGACCCTGGGTTCGATTCCTCAGCACCACATAAGCAAAAAGAAAAAAGCCGGAAGTGGCGCTGTGGCTCAAGTGGTAGAGCGCTAGCCTTGAGCTGAAGAGCTGAGGGACAGCACCCAAGCCCAGAGTTCAGGCCCCACAACCGGACCCAAAAAAAAAAAAAGTTAAGGGACAGTGGCCAGACCCTATGTTCAAGCCTCAGTATCAGTACAAAAACAAACAAAAAAAAAAACTGAGCTGGGTGCCGATGGCTCAAACCTGTAATCCTAGCTACTCAGAAGGCTGAGATCTGAGGATCGTGGTTCAAAGCCAGCTGTGGTCAATGTGTTGGCCTTGAGCTGAAGAGCTGAGGGACAGTGCACAGGCCCAGAGTTTAAGCCCCACAATCGACAAAACCAAAACCAAACTGAACATATAACATAGCAGCAAAAGATAAATATGGAAGAAAATAAGAAGAGTGAATCCTAAAGATGCTTCCTGCCTTTTCCTGCCAAGCATTGTAGTTTCCATCTGTAATCCCAGCTATCTGGGAGGCAGAGATTGGAAGGACAGAGACTCAAGGCCTGTTTCTATAGTCACCTCTGTCTCTCTCTCTCTCTCTCTCTCTCTCTCTCTCTCTCTGTCTCTGTCTCTGTCTCACTCCCTCCTTCCTGGCTGCTATGAGGTAAATAGGAAGAAACCCACAGCGATCCTCAGAACTCAGCCTCCCGAGTAGCTAGGATTACAGGTGTGAGCCACTAGTGCCTGGCTGGCCCTTTCCTTGTTTTAAGTTGTTTTCCTGGGCACTTGTCACGCCATTGCACTGGTTAATACGTCCAGGCTAGGAGAATTATGGAAACTTCCAGCTTCATTGGGAAACACATTTGTGGTCACTCCATGCTGGCTGCTCAATGGGAGGGGCTGAGAATGAGCTGTACCCACCCTGGGCCCCATTTCTGTGCCCTCTCCCAGCCAAGATGTGTCTCTGTGTGTTGGCACAAAGCGCATGGGATTCAGTGATGTTTTCTATTGTTTCTTTCATTGCTCTTTGAGTATAACTCAGTGTGAACCCTCTTTATTTCTGTTTGTAATTAAAACCTGATTTGTAACCAGGTCCTGGCTGCTTACACCTATAATCCTAGTGATTCAGGAGGCTGAGATCTGAGGACTGAGGTTCAAAGCCAGCCTGAACAGGAAAGACCATGAGACTCTGATCTCTAACCACCAAAAAAGCCAAAGTGGAGCTGTGGTTCCAATAGCAGAGTACCCACCTTGAGTGAAAGAAACAAGTGAGAGCGCAAGCCCCAGACGGCAAAAAGACAAAAGGGGGGAGGTGGAGACATTGTTTTAAAAGTTTTAGAATGTTCTTGAATGTTTTCTGTATCACAGTTGGGAGAACTCATGTGTGAGTGCCCAGGCCTGATTCCTCAGCTATATTAAATTATATATATGTAAAGCCAGGCGCTGGTGGCTCACGCCTGTCATCCTAGCTACTCAGGAGGTTGAGACCTGAGGATCAAGGTTCAAAGCCAGCCAGGGCAGGAAAGTCCATGAGACTCGTATCTCCAATAAGCCACCAGAAAACCGGAAGTGGTGCTGTGGTTCAAGTGATAGAGTGCTCACCCTGAGCTGAAGAGCTGAGGGACAGTGCCCAGGCCCAGAGTTCAAGACCCAGGACCAATAAAAACAAACAAATAAACAAACTATGTATACTTTAGCCAGCTTTGCTCTTTCAGACTTTTCTAGCATAATCACTCACTTTGTTTAGGTTTCAAATTTATTGGCAAACAATATTTTACATAATATCTCTTGAGGCAGTACTGGAGGTTGAACTCAAGGCCTTGTACTTGGTAAACAGGCTGTCTCTACCACTTAAGCCCCATTTCCAGTCCTTTTCTGCCTTAGGTATTTTTGGATAGGGTCTCCATGTTTTGCCCAGGACCAGTCTCAGTCCTGGATCTTCCCACTTCTTCTCCCAGGTCACTGAGATTACAGGCATGAATAACCTCACCCAACCTAGTTCTGTGCAACTTTATTACACATGTAAGTGTGTAAGATAATCAAGAAATTGTTCCATTACCACAGAGATCACCCTGTACCAGCCTTCCTTCACACCATTCCCTACTTCCTGGAAATTTTCAAGAATGATATATATATGAAATCAACAGCCTTTTTCACTCAGCATAAAAACCTAGAGAAGCCAGGCACCAGTGGCTCACACCTGTAATTCTAGCTACTCAGGAAGCTGAGAACTAAGGATCATGGGTTAAAGCCAGCCCAGGCAGGAAAGTCCATGAGACTCTTATCTCCAATAAACCACCAGAAAACTGGAAGTAGCACTGTAGCTCAAGTGTTGGGTAGAGTGCTTGCCTTGAGCTGAAGAGCATAGGGACAGCGCTCAGGCCCAGAGTTCAAGCCCTACAACCGACAAAAAAAAAAAAAAGTAGAGATGCCGGGTGCTGGTGGCTCACACCTGTAATCCTAGCTACTCAGGAAGCTGAGGACTAAGGATCATGGTTCAAAGCCAGCCCAGGCAGGAAAGTCCATGAGACTCTTTTTTTTTTTTTTGGGTCCGGTCATGGGCCTGAACTCTGGGCCTGGGCGCTGTCCCTCAGCTCTTCAGCTCAAGGCTAGCGCTCTACCACTTGAGCCACAGTGCCACTTCTGTCTTTTTTTTTCTGCTTATGTGGTGCTGAGGAATCGAACCTAGGGCCTCATGCATGCAAGGCAAGCGTTCTACCACTGAGCCACCTTCCCAGCCCCTCCATGAGACTCTTATCTCCAATAAACCACCAGAAAACCAGAAGTGGTGCGGCAGAGTGCTAGCCTTGAGCTGAGGGACAGCATCCAGGCCCAGAGTTCAAGCCCCATGACTGACAAAAACAAAACCTAAAGACCCCTATGAGCTGTGTCATGTATTAATAATTGCTTTTTATGGCTGAGGAGTATTCCATAGTTATATATAGGGTTTGTATGGTCTAAGGCTTCCATGATTCAGGACTCACTGCAAGGCAGAGGGGAAGTAAGTGTGTGCTAGTTGGGCAGGAGAAGACCCTAGGCAAGGTACAGGGCCCGGAAGGCCAGGAAGGATCTGAGGATGGGCCAGATGTCTTGGAGAGGTGGCTGGGTGCTCCTGGACTTGGTCTGAGAAATGGAAGGAGTGAGGGAATCTGATTTATGTCCTAGCCTCTCTCTCTCTCTAGCCTCCACTCCTGTTTATCCAAGTTAAGAAGCCAGACCAGAAGTAAGACCAGCCAGTGCCTTAGATCTGAGCAGAGCTTGGCAGCTGTGCCAGGCTCCAGCCCCACCTGCCTCTCTCTCCCAATAATAAGAACCTCTGGCCAGAGGCGGTCATCCAGGCCGCAGGACTGCCAGGGCTGGTTCTGGTGATGGATATAGCAGAGGCTGCCGGGAGGAGAGCCCTTCCCTTGGACCGGCCTCTTGGGGTAGATATTTTGAGATTACGCACACTCGTAGTGTCATTAGAAAGCACAGCTATAAATTAGGCTGCTCAGGGGCATGGGGTTTGTAATAATTAAGTAATAAAAGTCGCCACAGGGGTAAAGGAGCTAGAAAACAAAGAGCCAGTGTTTATAGATGCACTGCTGGCTGTTCAGTGAGGGACCTGGGCATTTCACAGCCACGGAGCCTCTGCTCCGATAACTCAAGTTCCTCCAGACCATGCGTGAGGACTGCCGGGTCAGCCCAGGCTCATCTCATGGCTAACCAATTATTGCCAACTGGCATGAGACCCCCAAAAATCAGAACTGGAATGTTTCAAGACACGAGCCCTTTGTGTATGTGTGTGTGTGTGTGTGTGTGTGTGTGTGTGTGTGTGTGAGTGTGTGTGTGTGTGTGTGAGTGTGTGTGTGTGTGCTGGTACTGGGGCTTTGGGCTGAGCTAAGGGCCTGGGTGCTGGCCCTGAGCTTTTGTTTAAGGCTAGTGTCATACCACTTGAGCCTCAGCTCCACTTTTGACTTCTGGTGGTTAATTGGAGATGTAAGTCTCAAGAACTTTCCTGCCCAGGCTGGTTTTAAGCCGTGATCCTCAGATCTCAGCTTCCTGAGTAGCTAAAATGACAGGTGTGAGCCACCAGCACCCAGCTTGAAAATCTCACATTTTTCTAAATGTGAGATATCACGACTTTCAACCAATGGCCGTCACTTCAAAGATTTTAAAAAAAAAACTGGTGTATAGGCCCAATGAAAAGCCAGGCTGAGTGGTGACTGCCTATAATCCCAGCTAGGCAGCAGAGGTGGTAGGATCCAGGTCTGAGGCCCACCTTGGACCAAAAAAGCATGATGGGGTTAGGGATTTAGCTCGTGAAGAGCACTTGCCTGGCAGATGCAAGGCCTGAGTTCCTCAGCTCTGAAAACAAAACAAAACCAAAAGAAAAAAACATGAGATCCCCTCTCAAAAGTAAGTTAAGCGGAAAAAAAAAAAAAAAAAAGTAAGTTAAGCGATGAAAGGGATAGGGATGTGCTTCAAGGGCAGCACACATGCCTAGAAAGCATGCGGCCCCGGGGTCCACCCTCCCGGAAGGTGTGTCAGAGGGGCTTTGGCCCTCTCTGCTGCTCTGCTCGTAGGCACTCATGCACGTGCCTTGCCTCTGTCAAGATTTTGGGTGCTGGCCAGAGCCTGGCACAATCTTGGGGTGAGCTCTAGACATGGAGGCTGCAGGGAGGAGGGCTGACCTTCCTTTCTCGGCCTCTAACCCTGCCTGGCCTTGCCTCCCCCAGGCCGTCGACGCCCTTCTTCGATCTGCTTCAACATCGCTACCAGCAGCTGTGGGTGCAGGAGCAGAAGGCCACGCAGGCAGCCATCAAGCTGGAGAAGAAGCAGAAGGTAACCGCCCTAGCCCCAGGGCCGGCGGCTGCAGAGGGGAGATGCAAGTGGCTGGCACCACACTCCACACTTGTGTGGTGTCTTGTGTCTAGCTAGGAACCCATCAGGTATTACTGAGTCTGGCCTATGAAGATGATCAGTTTGTAGGCTGGACTGCCCCGGTCCCAGGGGTAACGTGTCCCTACTGTAGGTCTGTACACTGCTGCCAGGGTACCCCGGATTTGATCACCACCATTCAAAGGCCGCTCTGCTCAAAGCCTGGAGCCCAGCCAGGCACCGGTGGTTCACGCCTATAATCCTGGCTACTCAGGAGGCTGAGATCTGTGGATCACAGTTCAAAGCCAGCCTGGGCAGAAAAGTCCATGAGACTCTTATCTCCATAAACCACCAGAAAACCAGAAGTGGTGCTGTGGCTCAAGTGGTAGAACGCTTGCCTTGAGCTGAAGAGCTGGGAGACAATGCCCAGGCCCAGAGTTCTAGCCCCACAACTGACAAAAAAGAAAAACAAAAAACCTGGAGCTCTTTCCCAGCAGGGGGAATGGACTGGCTTGAGTCTAAAGACCCACTGGCCAGCTGTTGTGGGCTAGAAGGTTTCTCTACTTTGGTAGCTTCCATACTGTTTGAGAGGGCTTGTAAATTATTCCCACTCTAATCCTAGCTACTCAGGAGGCGAGAACTGAGAATCCTGCTTAGAAGCCAGCCAGGCAGACAAATCCATGAGACTCTTATTTTCAATTAAACAGCAAAGAGCCAGAAGGAAGAGGGAGAGAATGCAGTCATAAAACTCAGTGCCTATCCTATGAAATTACGGGAATGGAGGGGAAGAGTGGGGCTTGGGGGGCGTGTTGGGGGAGAACAATGGAAGGAGTGACATGGCTCAAGACGCATGGGCTTCATAAACTGATTTGTTGAGTGGTAACTCCTCTGTACAGCTACTTAAAGATAATTTAAAATATAATTAAAATGTTAAAGTGGAAGTGGAGGTATGGCTCAAGTGGTAGAGTACCAGCCTTGAGCGGGGAGGGGGAGGGGGCTTCGTGAGAGCACAGGCCGAGTTGATGGTGATGATGATGATGATGATGATGATGATGATGATGGTGGTGGTGATGGAACTGATGAACAAATCAGTAAAGAGCTTGCTGACGTGATGTGTTTATCTGGCTCACCAGACCAGGAGGAACTTGTGCTCATTTTGGTTGGTTTAGCCGTGGACGGCAGTCCTGCGCGTATGCTCAGTCAGCCGGCCTGCTGTCACACCTCAGGCTTCACAGCCGTTGAGACATCTGCTCCAGCTAGCTCTGAAGGTCATTTGGGGTCAGGTTCTAGGGGCCTCAGTGATCCTGCATGAACCCTGTCCGCCTCCTCGCCACACCATCCTCGCATGAGATCAGAGGCTGCTCCCTCTGAATCTGAGGGCCACAGCTCAGTCTTCAGCAGACCCCGGGAGCTATAGGACTTGCATTATGGGCTTGTGGAGAGTTGTTAGTGGGCACCGAGCATATGAGGTAGAGTGAGCCCCCTGAAGAGACCTCACACGTCTCTGTGCCTGGGTGGGCCTCCTCTGTGGGCCAGCCCACATTTTCATCACTCAAACATGGTGGAGACCCTGTGAATCTCAGTTCTGTTGATCTCTGAGGAGAAGTTCAAGGATGACAGGACTTCTTCCCTACTCTGGGAGCTGCTGCTTGGCCCCAAGCAGGGTCCCCAAGTGTCCTAGGGCCACACCGGAAACCAGGATCTCATGGCCAGGGAATCCTATGAACCCCTATCCCCACCTCATCCCCCAGCCCACAAGCAGCCCCCCGGGGCAGAGATGAGGGGGAGACCGCTGTTAAACATCCTCAGAGAACGAGCTGGAGCAGGAGGGAGGAGGCCCCGCGGTCCCCGTTCATTGCCAGGGCTTCCACAGCCAGGGGAGGCTCTCACCTATGTGATCGCCCGCAGGTGGTCCTGGGGAAGCTGTACGACACCCGGAGCAGCCATCTGCGGAAGTACAAGCCCCCCGTGAAGCTGGACAGCCTCTGGCACATGCCTCACTTCCAGAAGGTCAGTGTCTCCTTCGCAGTCGCCGTCCTGCACCGGAAGTTCCGCTGGTCCTCCAGGCCTGTAGCCATTGGGTGAAAGAGACAATGGTGGCAGTGATCACGGCTGACACTTTTGGGGAGCTTCCTAGGTGCCAGGCACGAGCCCTCTTCACTCAGACTCTTCTTATACACAGCTGCAGCACCCGCCTATTGGGCACAGGAGGAAACAGGGCCAGTAGTGGGCACTGGCAGGGCCACTGGCTGATCCTAGCCACCTCACCTCAGAGCTGGGTATCAGTCCACCCAGGGCAGAGGCTTTCTGGATCCAATCTCCCTTCTGCAAGGACAGGATTACAGACGCAATGACATGCAGGCTTATGGATGCAGTCACATGCAGGATTACAGATGCAATCAATCACCTGCAGGCTCTGGACTCGGGGATGTAGACAGCCCTGTGCCCACCTTGTGGTGCTGGCCTAGGGAAAGAGGAGCAAATGTCTGTGGGTGACTGGTGTATGTGCATAGCATACAACCACAGTGACAGACAAGGCCCCGGCACCGGGCCGTGCTCTGGCATGGGAGCTGAGCCCCCGTTCCTCTGGCTCTGTTGTCCTGTAGCACCCAGGGCAGGTCAGCAACTTTCAGCAGGGAGAAGGCAGTGTGGGAGGCAGCCAGCATCGCCAGAATGAAGGGGGCCACCTGTGCCCAAATCGGGGAGAAGGAGCCACTGTAGCAGGCCACGAGGGACTTGCCTGGTCCCAGGAAGCCAGCTGCATGAGGTAGACAGAGAGACAGACAGACAGACAAGACAGCCTGGCTGCTGTGTCGTGTGCATTGAAATACACTGTAGACACTGAAGGGGGCTACTGCCTTCCTGAGCCTAATGCACTTGAACAAGCTTGGCTGGCAACCCGCCTCCCGCCCCCATGGGTGGCCTCTATGTCCTCCTGCCCAAGTGGGCTCTCAGCATATGTCAGTGACCATGTGCCCTGCCGCCCGTCAGCCCCGCTGCCTCTGCGATCACAGCAAATGTCACGGAAAGAACATGAGCCAGCGCGTTCCCGAGGCCGTGGGGTCACCGCCATGCTGTCACTTCACAGCACCTCACCTCCTCCCTCCTCCCTCCCATTTCTCTGGCTCGCTCAACCTCCTGCCTGCCTCTGTGTGTGTGTGTGTGTGTGTGCGTGCGTGCTCACACGCACACGTGTGTGTATCCATGCCTGTGTGTAAGCCTGGGGATTGAACTCAAGGCCTGGGTGCTGTCCGTTAGCTTTTATCTCAAGGCTGGAGCTTTACTACTTGAACCATAGCTCCATTTCTGGCTTTTTAGCGGTTATTTGTAGATAAGAGTCTCTTGAATGTCTTGAATTTGTCTGCCTAGGCTGGCTTTGAACCAGCCTCCTGAGTAGCTAGGATTACAGGCATGAGCCACTGGCACCCGGCCATTCTGCCTTTTAAAACACATCAGCCCGTCTGCCCACCCTGGTCCTCTCCAGCCCTCAGCAGCCCACAGTCTCCTCCCTGGATCCCCATCTGTGGTCAGTACTCCTGCAAGGGTACCACCCAGCCTGGCTCCAGTGGGGACCCTGGGCTCCCGGGCACTGCCATTATGGGATGTCAGGAAAGAATGCCCAGCGGGAGAAGTTTGCAGAGGCCCCGCTGCGGGCCAAGGGCTGGCACACCGGGGGCCCTGGCTAGGAGAGCAGAAGGAAGACCCCCTATAGGAAGCAGATCCAGGGGGAGTTGGAGGCTCCAAACCCCAGGGTCTCCTACAGCTCCTTCCCTCCACGGAGCCCTCTCTCCTCAGCCCCAAAGGGTTCCTTTCTCCCTGTCATGCTCTTAGCCATTCTGCAATGAACCCATCAATCAGGGATACTTCCCGATGTCCCCAGCGAAGTGTGAACCCGCAAGGACCAGGCCTGCCAGGGTGCTTAACTCAGAGGAGGCGGTCACTAAACAGCGGGAATGAATGAATGCTTGAATGAATGGCCAGCACTGCCCAGACCTGACCCCTTGGCTCCCCAAATGCCTAAGCACTTCCCACCACCACAGATGGGGGCCCGGGGGAGGGGGTGGACTCAGAAGCTCAGCCAGTGCCTGCGTGGGGCAGCCGCTCCACCTCGGCTCACGAAGGCCCAGGAGGGGCTTTGTCTGGGTCTTGTGCTGCCCCTGGCCCTATTGTGGAGAAGAAAAAAACAAAACAAAAAAAAAAAGGCTTCCCAAAAAAGTTGCACATGTCACAGTGATGGATATGCTAAGTGGACTCTCCAGCTCGGAGCAGATGTCGGCGCTGAACTCTGTCAGAAACAATTAAACACCTTTCACACCGAAATGCAGCAGGCAGGGCAGCCGCCACCCTGTGGGCCGGGTCACCATGATGGGTGGGGGAAGACCCCAGCCCCCCCCCCCCCCCCGCCCAGGCGGGGCTGGCACCGCTGAGAAGGTGGACTAGGTGTCCAGTCTAGTCCTGTTGTGGGCAGTGTGTGCTGAGGGCTGCAGGTCAGGGTGGTAGCGGGGAGGGCTGGGGCTTGCCTGTGCCTGGGAGTGAACCCCCAGGGTCAGCCAGAGGGGGGTCAGATTGGCATCTGCCCTTTCCTACCTGTCCTGTGATTTACTTCCTCCCCGGCAGGGCAGCTTAGGAGGGTTTGAAGAGCGCATGGGAGTACCCTGCTCAGCAGGCAGCTGGCCCACAAGAAGCCACCAATAAATGGCAGCTGCCGAGTGGGTGGTGGTGCCGATCATTCATTCACTCATCACCCACTCGTTCATTCATAAGTATCTCTCCCTCACACACACCGCCGCATCAATGGAGGGATGGTTTGAAAAAGCCCATTCCTAGGTGAGATGTTAAAATGGTCAGGGACATTAAGCTTAGCTGGCACCCCCACATTTGGGATATGGGGACCATGCCCATAGTGACACCCCTATTTCCCATCACCCCAGGGTAGGCTGGCGTGCCCAGTTCACGTGCTCTCCCCAGACCAACTGTCTGCCTCACTGGACCTGAGGAGAGGGGATACAGATCTCTCTTTTGTTGTTACTGAGCCCTTTCTGAAGTCACACGGTTGCTGGTCAGTCTTCCCACCCTAAGACACAGGCCAGTGAAAGCCAGGACTCGGGCCTGTAATGAGGGCCTCCACTGAACATCGCTGCCGGAGAACCTGGGCTGTGCAATCCCGGCTGGCCAGAGCACCGTCTACCTTGCTGTGTCTGTGTCACACTCCCGGTGTTTGGGGGCTCCCCACATCCTGTGGCGCTGGGTGAAGCGGGGTGTTCTCCCTTTCTCTCACAGGCTTTCCGGTAAGGTTTGGGTGTGGGCAATAAGTACATATATCTTTTATAAAAACCAGCCACGCCATTTTACAAATATTTTAGCTGGAAGCTGGGCATGGGTGGCTCACGCCTGTAATTCTAGCTACTCAATAGGCTGAGATCTGAGGATCACGGTTCAAAGCCAGCCCTAGCAGGAAAGTCTATAAGACTCTTATCTCCAATAAACCACCAGAACCGGAAGTGGCACTGTGGCTCCAGTGGTAGAGTGCTCGCCTTGAGCTGAAGAGCTGAGGGACAGACAGCACCCAGGCCCAGCGCTCAAACCCCACGACTGACACACACACACACAAAATTTTAGCCTGGCCTGGAAGTGCATGCCTGTAATCCCAGTACTCAGGAGGAGCATGAGTTTGACACTCTATCTCTTTTTTTTTTTTTATTGTGAGAATACTGTACAGAGGAATTACAATTACATGGGCAAGATAACGAGTACATGTCTTATCAAGCATTGTTGCCTCCTCTTTGTTTCCCCTTCCCATCCCTTCCCATACTCCACCCACCTCCCCTCACCCCATCCTTCCTCCCTCCCACCAAAGTTGTAAAGTTCGTTTTTTGACATAACAACTTGTGCATCTCATTGTTGCAATGGGTCCACCTGTATCCCTAGTTAAATGATTTGTTTTTGTCCTTACCCTCCACAAATTATACCAACATCAAATACAGTGAAAGCAGGGGTTATACTGTGGGGGAAGGACATACAAAGCAACATAGAAATCATCTTATAAATATGTTAGAAACAATTGCATGAAAGAAAAAAAACATTTAAATACTTATCTTGGAGTTCATTCCCTAACATCAACTTATCTGACCTTTTCTGCTTGACTCAGACATATACTAGTTATTGCAAATAAGGGAAGCCATGGGACCTATGTTTCTTTGGGCCTGGCTTACTTCACTTAATATAATTTTTTCCAGGGGCTGGGAAGGTGGCTCAGTGGCAGAGCGCTTGCCTTGCGTGCATGAAGCCCTGGGTTCGATTCCTCAGTACCACATAAGCAGAAAAAGCTGGAAGTGACGCTGTGGCTCAAGTGGTAGAACGCTGGCCTTCAGCACCAAGAGGCTGGAGGACAGCGCCCAGGCCCTGAGTTCAAGCTCCAGAAGCAGCAAAAAAATATAGATAGATAGATAGATAATTTTTTCCTGGCAAATGGGGCAATGTCGTTCTCTTCAGATCGTATGAATCTTTCACCTTTCATTCTATCTCTTAAAAAGAAAGAGGAGGGCTTTAGAGGAGAGTAGGTGGCACTCTTCCCCAGTCTCTTCCCAGCGGTCCACCCGCTTTGAGACAATTCTTCCTGTTGTCTCAGAATACTGGGGTGCTTTAGGCCACACCTGGTTTCTCGTGGTTGTTTGTGTCAGGCCTGAGGGTCAAGCAGACATTGCTGGGCCTGCTGACTTCTGGAGGCTGGATCATTTTTTGACCAAGTCCAAGTTAGAATTTCAGTCCAGTGATCCATGCGGAAGAGGCTTTGCCCAAGCACCTGCCGGCCCCCTGCACCACCCCCTCCGCCCTTCCCACAGCTGGGTCTCCCTGCAGCGCCCCTGCACCACCCCCTCCGCCCTTCCCACAGCTGGGTCTCCCTGCAGCACGGGTCCCACCGACATTTCATAGTCATTCAGTCACTAACGTATGAACAAATTGACTATATTTTCACTTGGCTTTTGGTTTTAGCTCTACTGCTTTAGAAT